TTTTTTTTTTTTTTTGTTTTAAATTTTTTAAAAAAAAAAAAAAAAAAAAAAAAAAAGAAATAAAGGATTGATTGAATGCTTTATTGTTCAATGTTTGTTCATCTGGTTAATCATGAATGTCAAATCATTATAATAATAATAATAAATTTTTCATTGCCAGAAATTACATTTTGTTGAAATATTTCTTAATTTTGTTTTCAGAAAAGAAAAATTCCATTCAAAATCTTCTAATCATTATCAATCTTCAATGGTTTTGCACTTGTTCATCATACATACCATACCATACATGTTTTTCATTATTATTAGCATTTTTTTCTAGTTGTTTTCAAATTTTTTGTTTTCTTTTTCAATATTAAACATCAAATATCATAATTGCTATTTGTTATTTTTCTAGAAAATGTTCTTTTCACTATCTCTTTCACTCTGTCTTTCTCCTGGATAAACTAATTATCTGTTTATTTCTTTTTCTTTCTCTTTATCTGTTTTCCCTATGTTTACGTACGTGTATTGATGATTACACATGATGATGTGAATATGTTTGTTTGTTGGAAAAAAAAAATTATTATGGAATGAAAGCAAAGAAATATGTGTAATGATGATGATGATGATTATCCAAAAGAAAATATTGATGGTCAATGATTATATTATATGATGATGACAAGAGAAAAAATGAAATCAAAGAGAACAAAATCAATTCTATCAGATTTACAATAACAACAACGAAAAAAAAAATGCAAGAGACAACTGGATGACAGGACATGTATGTACATGCAATCCGAAAAAAATGACCGAGGTCATTCATTCATTCATCATTTTCATTTTTTTTTTTTTTGGCTGGGAATTTCGTTTTTGTTTTTAAATCAAATAATATTATGTACATGCAACCCGAAAAAAATGACCGGGGTCATTCATTCATTCATCATTTTCATTTTTTTTTTTTTTTGGCTGGGAATTTCGTTTTTGTCTTTAAATCAAATAATATAACTTGTTTTTCAATCAAACAAAATGAATGAATGAAGAATCTTATCCTGAAAATTAAATTCACATTTTTTTTGGTAGTTTTCTTTACCATTTATTTTATAACAAAACCCATACTCAGGTTATGAATAAATTGAGAATCGATTTTTTTTTGTTATCATCATAATTTTCTTTGAAATTAATTCATCAGTGCAATCATACAGTGAATATTGCGCATTTTTTTCTTTGCTCTTGTTGTTGTTGTTGTTCACTGATTCTGATTTTGAATTTGTCCATGAAAAACATTGAAAGGACATAAATTAAAACATCATTACAAGAGAGGTAGAGAGAGAGATAAAGTGATGATGGAATAAAACAAAATGACAATAACAGAAAAACAATGTTTAATAATTACTATGAAATGTATGAATGAATAATTATGATTTAAGTAAAATCAGATAATCAGAATTTATTGCATCGATCAATCAATCGATTTAAATGAATTTGAATACTCATTATTTTAAAATTTATTTATTTTTATTTTATTTTTTTGTTACTTACAGCTATGTAATCGACCTTGATGATGATGAAAATGATTAAAATCATCCATTGGAATAATTGTATCGATTTGATATAACATTGATAGATCAGTTTCATTTATACCATAAAAATTCATTATTGAACGATAAAATTGTAGATTAATATTTGATTCATTGGTTTTATTAATATTTGACGTTGTTGTTATTGTCAATGTTGATGGTAATGATGATGATGATGATGTAGTTCCCATCATATGTGCTTCATAATAAGCATATGTACCAATGAATAGTAAAACAATACTTAAACATAATGAAAATAATGAAAAACCTAGCATAAATTTTGAATATAATCGAAAAAATGATAAAATTCCAAATGAATTTTCATTATTATCAATCATTATTGATCGTGATGATTTACGTTGAACATTTGTATGTCCATTTAATCGCATTATTTTACGCATTTTTAGTTGAATTTGATTGTTGTTATCGTTGTTGTTTTCGTTATAATGATTAAAAGTTGAATGAGATTCAAACAAATGATTCATTAGAATTTATTGTTGCTGTTGTTGTTGTTGTTGTTGTTGAAACGATAAATATGATTTCTATATTTCAAAAAGGATTGTAATTTTTTTTTTAAATATGATCGGATCGATTATATTTAGGCAATCGACGTCTTTTTCTACATTCAAAAATGAAAAACAAAATTTTACAAAACACATAAAAAAAAGGATGTTCCAACAATAGTTTTATAATAATAATGGAAAAAATTGTGATGATGATAATTTCATCGACAATGAATATAAAAAAAAATATTTTTTCATATTAACGCACATTAACTAACAGGAAAAACGAATGAGAAAAATGACATTCGATTTTTTTTTATTAAAATTTTAATATATTAAAAAAAAAGATGGATATCGTCAAACAATTGATGAAATTACAGTGAACTTGGGGAGAAAAAATGACAAACAAACAAACAAACAACAAAAATAAATTGAACGGAATTGAATTTCATTCAGTCGATGAATCCTGGTTTTTCAACAACAAAAAAAAAAGAAAAAGAAAAATTCTTGAAATTTTTTAGCATTTTTTGTTTTGTTTTGTTTGATGGAAACAGGATGACGATGATGGTGATTGTGAAAGAGCGAAAAACAACTTTTTTTTGTTTGTCTTGTGATATTATCTTGTGTTTCACTAAATTAAGTATTCGAATGAAGCAATGAAGGAATTATTGATTTTTTTTTTGTTCAATTTAAAGTTGTTGCTGTTGTTGTTGAAAATTTTAAATTAATTTTTATTATTTCAAAATGAAATCACAGATATTGCTCATCATATTTATTGATCCATCATCAATGTGACATGTAATAATAGTAAAAAAAAAACCTGCACAGGGAAAAAAAATCCAAAATTTAAACACACACACACACTATTGGAACATAATTATTATATCGATTATATTAGCGTGTGTGTTTGTGTATGTGTGTATATGTGTTTGTAAGTTGATCCATCAAAGCATCATCATTATTATCGATATAGTAAGCAAGGAACAAACTCAATATACACACACAGTGTTTCCACTGATAGTTTCAATCATTAATCGATTTGAATCAATTTTTTTTTTCTTCTTCTTCTCTCGTTTGTTTATTATTATTATTATTATTATTATTATTATCGAATGTGAAACACAAAAAACAAAACAACATTAGTTTCAAATCAATAAAGGTAATGATAGATAGAGAGAGAATGATTGGGAAAAAAAATTTCAAATGAATTAAAGAGAAAAAAAAGAGGCAATCTTTGCTTCCCTCATTCATTCATTCATTGTATATTATACTATCAATGTTTCATTTGTTCCAATAAAGATGAGATGTTTGTCTCTCATATTTTGTGTTTTGTTTGTGTAATAATGATGATGATGATTACAACTTGTTGCTAGAACAATAATAATAATAACAAAAAACAACAACAATCTTCTATAGAAAGAAAATTCTTTCGGGATTTTTCTTTTTTTTTCTTCTCTTTTTCTTCTGTAAAATTAATCATTTATTGAACAATTTTCAAAATTTTTCTCATTTGAAAAAAAATATGAAGAAATAATAATGAAATAAAAAAAACAAAACGAACGTCAAACGAAGGATTTTCCTTTTATCCCTGTTGTTGTTGTTGTTGTTGTTGTTGAATGAAATAAGATTGACGAAATTGTCTAATGTTATTTTTTTTTCTCTGTAATAATTATGTTGATTTGGATGAATGGATGGAATAAAAAGAAACTACGAAATGTTGAATGTTGAGATTGAAAAGAAAAAAATATTTCAAAATCATTTCATTGTAAATAATGGAAAATATAAGAGAAACAAAAATGGCGATTGAGAAATTTTTTGTTTTATTTTGCGAAACATCACTAAACACACACACAATATTACAAATTTTTTTTCTTCATCCGCATGCGCATCTTTTTTTGTTCAGTTGGAACAAGAATTTTTTTTTGTTGGATTTTATTTGAGTAAATGATCATCATCCATCAAACAACAATATAAAATTGAATCTTTGGATATCAGTGGGTCATCAATGAATGTTTGTAGAAAAACGAAAGCAAAATATCAATAAAAACAACACCAACATCCTTCACATTCACATCCAATCCTAATGATACCCATTTATTATCATCAGCAAAAAAAAAATAAGTTAAAGTAGATAGAGAGTATATGTGTGTATGTAAACGAATTCAAATTTCTTCAGCTAAAGCTGATAATTATGTTTAGTGATTTAATCAATCGATCATTTAATTTGTTTACATTTGATAATAATGTGAATGATGATGATGATGATGATGATGATGAAAAACAACGAATAATAATTTTTGTTGATAATTTCTTTCTCTTCATCAATATTATGAATATAAATGTAATTCATTTTTCCCCAAAAAACAAAACAAAAAAATGAACATTTCATTCTGTTTATTTTTAGTTTTTTTTCATATTTTTGATGAATCTAAGTATAATTATTGCCTTTTTAATGTAAACTAAACAACAAAAACCGAATATTTTGTTATTTTAGGATATTTAATTTCAATACTTTTTTTCTGTCCAATGTTACCTTGTACTTGAATTGAAGAAAATACACACACTAGAGGAAAAAATCCATTTCAATTCAATTCAATTCAATTCATTTTGTTGTTGTTGATTAGATAAAAATTCATTCAAATTATCGATTAATCAAGTCAGCATATTTCTAGTTTTTTTTTCTCTGTTCAATAATTATCGCTTTTCAATTATCCTCATTCGAAAATAATAGTTTCTTTTTGCTTTACAAAAAAAAGAAGAATTCAAACACAAATTATAATTTTAATTAATTTTTATTTTTATTATTTTTTTTTAATTTCAAATAATGTAACATTATAATTAAATAACAATAACGATAAAATGAGGAAAATGTTTGTTTTGCAAACAGAAAAACAAAACAAAAAACAATCATTGAATAACGATAATGTTTGATTTGTTGATTCAAAAATTTTTGTTTGTTTTTGTTTTTGTTGTTATCTAAATGTTTTTGGAATTCTGTTGTTTGACAATAATCTATTATCTGTATGTTTTTTTTATTAGTAACTATAGATTTGGTATTTAATAATAAACAGAATATGTTTTGGTTTGTAATAAGAATGGTGTTAATGATGACGATGATAACGACAACAACAAAAAAAAATCTCGAATGAAAATTGATCTAGAATCGTTTTGTACTTGAGATCTAGATGTGAAAAAAAGCAGAAGAAGAACAAGAATGAAAAAAGATGAAAAAATCAATTGAACAAAAAAAAAAAGGAAATTAATGATTACAGATGATGACAGGAATCGAGGATTGAAAATAATGACGATGATAAAAGATTCGACATAAATGAAATGTTTGTCTGGTTTATACATTTTTTTTTTGTTTTTGTTTTTGGTTTGTTTAAAATGATGAAATTAATATTTTTTGGTTAATGTTGTTGTTGTTGCTGTCTTTTTCCCAACTATTATCAATTGTATTTCGATTTAATTTGATTAAAACGATTACGTTTATGTTGTTTGGTTATGTATTGATTTAGAAATTTTCTTCATTTTTTTTGTTTTTTGATTGTTTGTTTGGTTGATTTTTTTTTTGTTCTTGTGTTGTATGTGTTAAACTAAAACATAAAAATTTCAAATATGTAAAACAGTATTTAAAATACGAAACAAAACAGAGAAACAAAAAAATGATTCTAATTTGGCAATAAACAAGATTTCCTGTTCTGAAATCTTGTTCAGTTTGTAATGTAATCATGTCATTATGATTATCAATGATGATGATTATAATGAATTCTAATCATAGAAAGAATGTATGAATATTCGTCGAATGAACCAAAAAAAAAATCACCTTAACAAAATTCTTGTTGTTGTTGCTGTTTTTTTTTGTTTTGATCTTGACAATTAGAAAAAAAATACTGTTAATTTCACAATGATACAATTAATTGAATGATAATCTAATTTGAACAACAACAACAACAACAACGACATCAAAAAATCTAATTGATTTAATTGTTTTGTTTGATAAATGAAATTATAATTATTTTGTACAAGGAAAAAAATGAATGAAAGAAAAAAAAATGTAAATGATAGATAGATAGATGGATGATTTGATGAAGATATATCCTAGTTAATGTTTTGTTCCAAAAATGATGTTTGTTTTTTTTTCTTCAATAATATTCATTATCAATAAAATTATCGTTTGCTATTATCGATGATTAGTTGAATGAATCATATATGGACATTTTGTTTTGAATAAAAATTGATGATTATAACGATGATTATAATGATGATGATGATGATGAGGATGATGATTTGGATGTTTCAAAATGATAATCACAATCTAGCCATGTTTTTTTTCAAAAAATTCTTTATATCCGTGTGTATGTGTGTCGGTGTGTAGTTTTTTTCTTGGAAAAATAAAATCATTCTATTTTAACATTTTAAACATCAGAATAATAGATAATAATCTTATATGGTAATGTTGAATATATATATTTTTTATTTGTTTTTTCTTGAAAAATCAAAAAGAAAAATGTTCAATTTTTTTTTTGTTTTTTTGTTGAAATTATGGAAATAAAAGTAGAATTACATCAACAACAGCGGCTATTAATGATGATGATGATGATGATGATTAAAACAATGATGATAATATTTCCATATTCATATATTCATCATCATCATTCGTTTGCCAACAATTGTTCGTTAATTGAAACAGAGAAAGAAAAATCCTTGTTTGAATATGATTCGTATTCATTTCTTATTATTATTATTTTTGTTCGAATATAATTCAAAATCTTCAAGAATAAATTCTTCATAATAGATTTTTCATCATCATTAAAAACGAAAAACAAACAACAACAAAAAAACATTCAGATAATGATTATTCATCAAAAGTTATATTCCGATGAATTTTCATTTTGAGCTAAACGCAAACACTAGTACACCGCTACAATTTTCATTTTTTTTTGAAAAATCCAGTTTTTTTTGTTTTTTTTTCTTCTTTCGATTTTTACACATGTACAACACATATGGTTTAATAAGGAATCTTTTCTTCATCGTTGAAGGAATAATATTTTTTTTTGTTTGACTATATGAGGTATTACTAGAATTGATACCATTTTTTATCACGATATTTGAGCATAACAGCATGTGCCATACTGCCAAATGCTTCAGCTTCATTTTGCATACGAGCTGTACTATCTTCTAATTTACCAAGACGTTCACCACGTTCGTTAAGACTCTAATTTTTTCAAACCAAAAAAAAACAAACATTAAATTTTGTATTGTTAATAATCAATATTACCTCTTTCAATTTGGCAAATTCACCACCAATAGCACTGGATTGTGCTTTGGTATGTTCAACTGAACCTGGTATTAAACGTGCCATTGTTTTGGGCGCTTTACCGGCATTTGTTTCACCAAATAATTCTTCACGATCTAATGGTGTAGGTGTACCACCGAAAAAACCTTTTAAAAATGATTGCTTGGGCGGTTCGGGTAAATCTTTTGGACCATTATATACTGAACCAATCATATCGGGTAAATTGTCACAGAATGATGCCAATATTGTAAATTTAGTCAATTCTGACGGTGATGACAAATACATTCCATGGCCATTTACACTAAAAAGTATTGTTCGTGCAATTCTAAATCAAATAGAAATTATATTTATTGATTGAAAACATAAATCAATTCGCATACCTAACATCGGTTAAAGGTAAAAAATCCTGATCAATTAGGATACGAAGACTTGGCAAACTATAGACAACAATGTTACCGGTGCCGAGATATACAGCTAAACAATAAGCATCTTTGAATTTTGAAAAAAAACGATAAAAAATTTGAGCAAAAATAACAATCATTTCATAATCAAACCTTGATTTTTAATAAATACAAGATCAGCTCGAACAGCAAATGATGTTTCCGTAATAACCGCTTTTTGAGCACAAATTTGTTGAGGCATCACAATCAAACGAATCTGTTTTTCCGATGTAAGCACAACTAAATGTGAATCTCTTACATCAGTTGTACTTGATGTTGGTGATGTTTTAGACATTCGATTGCTTGATGATCCACCACTTCCTGTACGAGTAATAGTTAAAGATCCGGTACGTTTAGTTGATTCGCTAATACTTGTTGGTGTTGAAGTTTCATTTCTTTTATTATTATCTTTCCATGATTCAGCAGATAATGGTAGACTACACCCATTTAGATCAAGAAATCCAATATTTAATATTGAACCTTTCAAACGAAATATAGTCGCTATTTTGTTTTTTGTGGATGACAATAACAATGAAAAATTAATGGTTTTAATTATTCAATTTGATTGACACTTACGACTAGGTGTTGCTAGAACAGTTTGTAAACAAAGAACACGATTGTCCATACTATCGGGCATTGTTAATGTAATTACAATTACAGTTCCACAACTTGTACCAACCCAAAGTGTTGGACTGGGACAAGTATCTGAAATGTCATTTGAATTATCATTTGACAAAAGAAAAAACAAAACAAAAAACAAATCATTCAATAGATAAAAATTAATCAAAATTTTCAATCATACCAGTTTTGAGAACATAAGTGTTGGCAAATATCAAAAATTGAATCGGTTCACTGCCAACATTTTCCAAACTTGACATGCTTGAACTTCGTGATCTAGTAAAGCCTTCAATTTTGTCTATCAAATTGGTAAAATAAATTCACCAGAATTCAATTAATCAAATAAACAAGATATTCTCGATTAGTATATTGATATCAAATATATATTATTCATAAGAGAAAAAAAAATCAAATAAATGAGAGAGAGAAAAAAAAGGATGATAGTGAAAGTAATATGAGGGGGAAAAAAACAAACAAAATCTCCTGTTTGACTTTCATAGCGATTGACGATTGTCACACGATTAAATATGAATCAATCAAACAATCAATCTGTGAAAAGACATCAATGAGATTTACTTATTCAAGGAAAAAAAAAGTTTGAAACTAAAATTCTGTAATAATAATAATAACATTCAAACAAATTAATAATTGACAAGCGAAAAAACTAAGAAAAAAAAAGAATGAAAAAATACATGCAAGATTCAAGAATCAAAAATGATTAGGAAAATATATAATACAAACAACAACAACGACAACGACAATCGCATTCAAATAATAAGAAAAAAAACTATTAATATTATAAACAAATTATAATGATGATGATTATCATCATTATCACACAAATAAAACACAAAAAAAAATTCAATAATCTATATTCAAAATGATGTTATAATAAGCGTTTATAATAATAATAATAATAATGTTAGTAAAACCAAGAAAAATAAAAGCGAATCAATTAATTAAATGAGAAAATCATTAATTTCAAAAAATAAAAAAAAATAAAAATAAAAATTTCATTCAAAAGCGGAGTCAATTTTGTTAGTTTAATTATTATTATTTTTTCTCTTCAATAATTATTGTTCGAACGAATTTCATATATATGTCTATTATGTTCAATATGTTTGTGAAAATTTGTTAGTTGTGAATTGTTATTAAGTTGAATCAAAAAAAAAAAAAAAAAATGTTTGCTGTTTTTTTTCCCTTATCGTTGGACAGGTATGTTAAGTGTGTTACGAAAAAGATAGATAGAGAGAGAGAGAGAAAGAGAAAAGAATGATATTTTCCTTCAATAATCAATCCACATACAACAACAACAAAAAAAATCATGCGAAAAAATTTAGCCCAAAAATAAACAAAATCAATATTATACAAACATGATAAACATGGATGGTAACCATACATGAAATTTTTCAAATTCAAAGTTAATTTTTTTCCCCTCCCGAAAAAAAAATTCATTCAATAATAAAGCAACAACAACAACAACAACAAAAAAAGAAAAGAAAATTGCATTCACAATAGGTCCAGTAAGAAAAAGAAAAAACAGAAAAGATCCAATCGGAAGAAATCAATCAAAAACGAACACAAACACACACACAGGATGCAAAACATGAAATTCTTTGATATACAACAAAAAAAAAGATATTCAGGACCACAATTTTTTCCCTTAATATTATTCTTTATTTTGAAAAGAATTTTTTGCATTTTTTTTTTTGGCAAATGGTAAAAAATATTTTTCATATTTTTTTATTTTGTTTGGTTCTATTTTTCTCTCTATCCCAATTCTTTAAAATGGATCATAGTTATTCGGGTTGGTATTTTTTTTCTGTTGTTGATGGAATGATGGTGGTTGTTTGACTGAGAATAAATAATGAAAAAATGAATGAAAGAAAGAAAGTAAAAATCGACCAATATTCTACATAGTTTCCTGTGCAAATCGATAAAATAAATTATGATGCAAAATGTTGTATATGAGTAGAGAGTAAACAAGAAGAGAGAGAGAGAGAGAGAGAAACAGAGAAAATGGATTCCATAAAACAAACAAACAAACAAGAAGCAAATTTAAGACAAAATGCTTGAAATAAATTTTTAAACAAAAAAAAACAAAATATGCATCAAGAATATTCACACACACACACATTCATTCGCAAAAAAAACAGGCAAAATTTTTTTTCAAATTTCCATTTTTCGATCATCATCATCATCATCAATGGTTAGCCGGTCAAATTTAATCAAATAATATTGAAAAAGTTTACATTTCTATTTGAAGGGTAAAATGAAATTTCAACAAAAAAAAAAATGAATTTATGAGCATAACCAAAACAAAAAAAAAAGAGAGCAAATAAAATAAAATATTTATCCAAATAAAAATGAAAAAAAAGTACAATATCCAATTTGGCCCAAATTCTGGTCTGAGATTCTGACCAAAATCGTCGTCGTCATATCCGATGATGACAAGTGAATGACAAAACAAAAAGTTTTTCATACAGACAAAGCAAAAACTTAAAAAAAAACTCAAAAAACTATTTTAAATTTTCCTTTCTCTTTCTCTCTTTTTTTTTGCCCAAAATATATAGATAAATAAAATCAAAACAAACTTATATATTTTTTTGACATAAATTATTACAAAATATGATTATAAATTAATATAAAGTTAACGAAAGAATGAAAACAACAACAACGACAACCAGAATTTTAACTTTATGATGTCCAAGTTTGTTTTTTTTTTGGAACAACAACAAACTTTATAAAATAAATTCTTTTATGCCACATAAATTTTTGTTGTTTTGTATTGTTTTTGTTTTTTGATGGAAAAATAATAGTTTTTCTTTTGGATTCTCTTCTGTGTCTTATTTCTGAATTCTATCGAATTGTATTCTATTAATCTATATTCAGGTAAATTGTGTGTGTGTGTGTGTTTGTTTTTTGCCTTTGTCTTTTTTTTATAGCAAAACTAGATTCAATTGAATATTTCAAAATCTTTATTCATCATCATCATCATGCATTTGATGAGCCAAAAATAAAACAGGAGAAAAAATGATGCAAAAAAACCATGCACATTTTTTTTTTTTTTTTGGTAGGAAAGTTTTACAAACGAAACAATCACAGCCACAGGTAAATATTATTTAAGAAAAAATAAGCTTCAATAAGCATATATGGCCCATTCAACT